GGATTTCTGTTGTAACAACCGCACCTGAATGCAATCCAATCTGCCACATCAAGTCAGGGCAAGGATTTTCCAATTTATATAGGATGTAGATCCAAATAAACTAAATTCTGTGCAAATCAGATTAATGTGTATGTGTGCATACACACACAAATACAAGTGAAATAAAAGTATTTAATGTACTAAAATATTTATAACTCATGCATTTTAAGAGATAAGATAACCTTTATTGTCATTTTTTTACTATGGGCATAACAGCACACATCAAAAATGAAATTTAGTTGCCAGCTCTCAAAGTGAAACACATACATGACACACACCTAAATATACTAGGTACAACATATATATAGACCGCACCTCTACATACACATAACAAATAAATATTAAATACTGTCTATCTTGAATATATAACAGAAAGAGGAAGCTTGAGGGTTCACAAGGTAAATGCTGTATGGAATGAAACTATGGCTGAATCTGGATGTTCTCTACGGATACCATGAAGCCTCCTCCCAGAAGGTAACAAGGAAAACAGGTCGTTGCTCAAACAACGCTTCTGTGCTATGTCCTGTATGGGAGGGAGAGAGCTGCCAATGATCTTTTCAGCCATCCTCACCACTCTCTGCACTGCCTTCCTGTCTTAAGCAGTGATGCTTTCAAACCAGACTGTGATGCTGTATGAGAGGATGCTCTCAATCATCCCCCTGTAGAAAGTGGTCAGGACAGGGGAAGGAAGATGTGCTTTTCTCATGCGACACAGAAAATGCAGGTGCTGCTGTGCCGCTTCACCAATTTCTCACTGTTGAGCGACCAAGCCAGCCTACTCGTTAGCTCAGACATGTCAAACACTATGGCCCGGGGGCCGGATGCGGCCCGTGAAGTGGTTTCATGTGGCCCGCGAAGCCATCCTGGAAACAGTGAGGGAACGGCCCCGGCTACCTTGGCCCTGACCCAGGCCAGCCAGAAGGGAGCCAATGTACAATTTTGTGGTGGCCATCTATGCTGAAACGCATTCAGTCTTAGGTCCACAAGGCCATCTGGAAACAGTGAGGAACCAGCCCCTGCCGCACTGACCCCGCCCCCTGGGTGCATGCTGGGGAGGTGTCACCCTTTCTGAGGAATGAAGAAATGCACCATCACCTGGAAGTGGCCAGCAAATGGCTCTCGCCTATTTCACACATCCGGGCGGCACAAATCCAAAAAGAAACGCAAGGCCGCCCAACTCCCAATATGCAGTTTCAGCAGGCAGCAAGGTGCAAAGTTGGCAGGCTTCGCACTGCCCGGCTCAACCTCTCGGCGCTGTGAGTGCCCCGCTGCCTGCTGAAACCACACCCACCCAGTAGGCCACACCCACTCCATCCACACCCACCCAGTAGACCACATCTACCCTGGCCACACACACCCGCCTCCCCAAGGGCAACCGCAATGTTGATGCGGCCCTCAATGCAATTGAGTTTGACACTCCTGCATTAGCTGCACACCCAGGAATTTGATGCTGGTAACCATCTCCACAGGTGAATCATTAATGCACAGAGAAGTGTGGCTGTGCCTGTCTTTTCTGAAATCGACAATGATCTCTTTGGTTTTCCCGGTATTTAAAACTAGGCTGTTTTCCTCACACCAGTTCACCAACCCCTCAACCTCCTTGCGGTAAGCTTCTGCCTTGTCATCCTGAATAAGGCCCACTACTCTTGTATCATCTGCAAACTTCACAATATGGTTGGTGGCAAACCTAGCACAACAGTCATGGGTCAACAAGCTGAACAGCAGTGGACTTAAGACACAGCCCTGAGGAGAACCTGTGCTCAAGAAAATGGTATTAGAGGTATTTGTTCCAACTCGCACATATTGGGGGCCTATTGGTAAGAAAATCAAGAATCCAGTTGCACAAAGGAGTGTTTAAGCCTAAAAGGCCCAGTTTGTCTACTAGATGCTGGGGAATGATTGTGTTAAACGCCGAACTGAAGTCGACAAACAACAAACGCACATGAATATTTCTTTCCTCTAAGTGCTTCAAGCTCAGATGGAAAACGGAAGAAATAGCATCCTCGGTAGAGCGATTTGGTCGGTAGGCAAACTGAAGGGGGTCATTAAAAATGGTATACTAACTTTCGATATTTCCTACAAATATAATTTTAGTGGAATTACAATATAATTATTAAAAATTATAGAAGAAAATATTATATGTTCCTAATATTTAACACAGCAAATTGAAGTATTTTAAAATATTTTTGCTTTAGTCTTTCAAGAAAGCTAATAAAAGATTTCTGCAGTTTTTCTTAAAAAATATGATGCAAAAGGTTATTTAACTTGATTTTTATTCTGCAAAAAAGCACTTTACTTAAAACTTATTTTAATGAAGACATTTTAAAAAAAATGTTCAAAACTCAACTTACATACATCTTAAACATTTTAACTCAATTATATGACCACTGAATATAGTAAATCTTACTCAAGACCATGTGAGATAAGATTGTAGCCTTGTTTAAAGAAAAAAGAAAAGTTAGAGTATTCTATTCCTATGGCAGACTTTGTGGTACTGTGATCCACTAAAATAATGAGAAGTTTTATTCATGAAGGAATAATAATTGAAGGGGGGGATTCACTATGCAAAATAGGAACAAAGCATGGAATGAGTTTTGACAGTATTCCCATTTAATCTGCACAAGCCTAGTCATCTTGAAAAAAAATCAGTGACCTTCCCAATTTGTTTGCAATCCCCACCCCAAAATTGTAACTCACTGTTTGAAAATCTCTCCCTGTATGAACCAAATTATGTACTGCCTATGATACAAGAAGTGTTGGATTAAAAAGTGAAAAATTAGCCAACCACATTTAATTTGGTATATGGAATGTACTAATCATAAGAATATATTCACATTAAACTGCCACTTGCCTTAAAGCTGTATACCTAAAGAAAGCAAATCAAAACTTTCCACTAGGCAGAAAAAAAACACCATAGGGAAGTGACATACTCTCTTTTCAGGTCAAAAAAAATCCAATCAAAATTGGAAATAAAGGCATACTGAAGGCTTGATCTTTTGTTCAAACGTTACCAGATAAAATTCCGCTATTCTTTTCCCCTCAACTCCCATTCTTTTTAATTTGTAAATCTTAGGAAGGGTCTAAGCATTGCTGGCTGTGGAATTCTGGGAGTTGAAGTCCACATGCCTTAAAATTGTCAAGGTTGAGAAATACTGGTCTAATCTTTATTTAATCAATGTGAAGCATTTTGTTTTTGCCTGAAAAGCAACAAATGTATGCAGGAAGAAATGGCAGACCAAAGATAGCTTTGTGAAAAGCGAAGCTGACAAATGTGGCAAAATAAAGAGCCAGCAAGTAGACCAACTTTTTGTAATTTCTCTCCAGACAAGGAGAAGATTTGAGATTGCACACAAGTGCTCCAGACAGCTGCTTCTCCCAATGAGATTGCAAAACAGTGGTCTCTAATGTGTTTACAGTTCTAGGAGATGAAGGAATAACTATCTTGCTCAATCTAAGTTGGTACACCTTTGAAGAGGACTATGCAGAAAATAAAATTAATTTATTTAGACCATCATATTGACTGAAAAAGAATGCTTTGATGTTTTAACGTATCAGAAAATATTCTGAAAACCTACTTAAATGTTTTACTAGGTCTATTTGCATTTAGAACTTGTTTGATAGTTTGTGATCAATTTGATTTCTTATTACCTTGCAGGCTCACAACAGAACACTGCATTATTGTGAAAAATATATAAGGAACCTAGGAGATCTAGAAACAAAGTTTTATACCTATATAAATAAAATTGCTTATCATATTTAAAAAGTTGTACCTATTTAAATAATTTTAAAAAGCATTCCTTGAGAGTGTTTGATGTAAAAAAAAGTCTCAGAATGCCTACGGATTTTCCCAGAAAATTGTCACATTTTGCCAGTGATAGCAAATATTCTCTTAAACAAGAAATACTGTACTATATATGGCATCTGCTATTCTGTTCCACCATTTCTAGCTGCAAGGTTATATGAATTTGATACATAAGGCCTGCCATCTTTTTTTCCCAAATGCAGTAGTCAAACTGAAATAGTTATTTTGATTGTTTTAAAAACTGGATATCCTTGCTCTTCAAACCATGAAAACAAAGTAACTCAAGAATAAGTACATAGCCAAAGAGCCAACTCCAGAATCAATTTATCAGCCCCAGTTGAAGCCTCAGTTTATCAGAACCGCACTTTGTTTCTTATTAATGGGGGGGGGAGCACTGTTTCTGTTCACAGACTCCACTATGCCATAACGTGATCTGACTGGGTCAGGTTTTCAAGTGTTGCGAAACCGGACATCAAACTGCTCCTCCCGCTTCCAGAGAAGGCTCAACATCAACACTTCTGAGAATGAGGCCCTGGAGTGACTCGCTTCGTGAGATGAGTGCGACCGTCGAAGCCAAACTGTTATCACCCAAAGGTCTTTGAATATAATTCCTATTGGACCTACTCCGCATGAGATGTGGAGATGATGGGCGGCATAACGTCAAACACATCTGGAAGGCACCAACTCGGGAAAAGCTAATGCAAACCATGTAAGCACATCTCAAACCACGACGAAGCGGAACTTTACTGACATTAGTTCTCGCCGACACCCGTCGAAGAGCACTTAGACGTTCGTAAAAAAAAAAAAAAGCGCATATACCAGCATCCCACCTGCCATCTCCGCTGTCGCCCACTCCCCTTCGAGCCTTGTCAGGCCACCAATACCAACAGCAATCCACCCGCTTCGGACCGCAGCTTTCGCCAGGACTCCCCTACTCCGGTGGCAGGGAAGAGGCATCTCGTTCCCTTCGCCCTGAGCCTTCCTTCCACCGCACAGAAGAAAGGAATGGCTCCTGCAGCCAACTTCTCCCCCTTCCTCTTTCAAAGTCAAACCGACAAAGCAACCTTAGACCCAAAAAACCTAAACGACTGGAAGCGCCGGACGTGGGAACCAGGAAAGAAACAGCAAAAGTGGCTACCGAGAGAGATTTCGCCCTCACCTTCTTCATGAGGCCGAGTGACTTACAGGAAGCTAGAGACAACCGACCGGAGTCCACCCCGGGCTGGATTAGCTAGAATTACAGTCCCAAGAGTAGCAGCCAGGCCTCGCTCTGGGCCGGACCCTGCCCAAGACAACTTCCGAGGCCAAGCAGGCAACTCCTTCCGGGTCAAAAAAGGGGAAGAGTGGGAGTGGTCGGCCGGTTTCCCTAATCGCGGGTTCTTCGTCTTGTAGGCGCGAGTGATAAAGGTGCACCTTTCGCTGTTGCTACGGAACGCTTGGAAATCGCAACGCGAAAAGCGGGGTGGAGGAGAGAAATTAAACATCCGTTGGTGGTCCGGGGTTTTGTAATCCAGGAATGATAGCCCGACGCGAGTATTAGCATCTTCATTTGCTACCCAAAGAATTTGTTTCCAAATGAACAAAGGCATTTTACCTGTAATCCTATCAAGACTTTTTCTGGGAGTTAATAACATCCCGCTAAGTAGAAGTTTAAAAAGTGTTAAACTGGGTTGTTCAATTAAATATAGCTTAGTTGTTTCATTTACCCACATCCCATTCTCTTATTGTCAGTCCTAAAGCAAATGACAGTTTAACATTGTGTTTAGCTTGTTCATGAGGTTTACCAAAATACTGATGGATAATGTGTCTAAGCAGGGCATAGGCTGATAGAATTTTGTCAAGAGAATATGATGGTCATAGCAAACAGTCTTTTTCCAACAACCCAAAAGACGGCTCTACAAATGAACATCACCAGACTGAGGCAGAAGATATTAAGAAGAGGTGGCAAAATTACACAGAAGAACTATACAAGAACGAGTTTAGTATCCCTGATAACCATGATGGGGTGGTCACTGACCTCGAGCCAGACATCTTAGAATGTGAAGTGAAATGGGCCTTAGGAAAGCTGAGCAACAACAAAGCTAGTGGAGGTGACAGTATTCCAGCTGAGCTATTCAAAATCTTAAAAGACGATGCAATAAAAGTGCTACACTCAATTTGCCAGCAAATTTGGAAAATTCAACAGTGGCCACAGGATTGGAAAAGGTCAGTTTACATTCCAATTCCAAAGAAAGGCAATGCCAAAGAATGTTCCAACTATTGTACCATTGCACTCATTTCACATGCTAGTAAAGTTATGCTTAAAATCCTACAAGCTAGACTCCAGCAGTATGTGGATCGAGAACTTCCAGAAATACAGGCAGGATTTTGAAGAGGCAGAGGAACTAGAGACCAAATTGCCAACATACGCTGGATCATGGAAAAAGCTAGGGAGTTCCAGAAAAACATCTATTTCTGCTTCATTGACTATGCTAAAGCCTTTGACTGTGTGGATCACAACAAATTGTGGCAAGTTCTTACAGAGATGGGAGTATCAGACCATCTTATTTGTCTCTTGAGAAACCTATATGTGGGTCAACAAGCAACAGTGAGAACTGGCCACGGAACCACTGATTGGTTCAAAATTGGGAAAGGAGTCCAGCAAGGCTGTATTCTGTCATCCTGCCTATTTAACTTACATGCAGAGCACATCATGAGAAAGGCAGGGCTAGATGAATCAAAAGTTGGAATTAAGATTGCCGGGAGAAATATCAACAACCTAAGATATGCAGATGATACCACTCTAATGGCAGAAAGTGAAGAGGAACTAAAGAGCCTCTTGATGGGGGTGAAGAAGAGAGTGCAAAAGTTGGCTTGAAACTCAACATTAAGAAAAGCAAAATCATGGCATCTGGCTCTCTCATTTCCTGGCAAACTGATGGGGAAGAAATGGAGGTAGTGACAGATTTTATCTTCCTGGACCCCAAGATCACCACAGATGGGGACTGCAGCCAAGAAATTAAAAGACACTTGCTCCTGGGGAGGAAAGCTATGGTAAATCTAAACAGCATACTAAAAAGTAGAGACATCACTCTGCCAACGAAAGTATGTATAATCAAGGCCATGGTTTTCCCAGTTGCAATGTATGGCTGTGAAAGTTGGACCATAAGAAAGGCTGAGTGCAAAAGAATTGAGGCCTTTGAACTATGGTGCTGGAGAAGACTCCTGGGAGTCCCCTGGACTGCAAGGTGATCAAACCGGTCAGTCCTAGAGGAGATCAACCATGACTGCTCTTTAGAAGGCCAGATCCTGAAGTTGAAACTCAAGTACTTTGGCCACCTAATGAGAAGGAAGGACTCACTGGAGAAGGGCCTAATGCTGGGAAAGACTGAGGGCAATAGAAGAAGGGGACGACAGAGAATGAGGTGGCTGGATGGAGTCACTGAAGCAGTGGGCGTGAGCTTAAATGGACTCCAGAAGATGGTAGAGGACAGGATGGCCTGGAGGAACGTTGTCCGTGGGGTCGCGATGGGTCAAACACAACTTCGCAACTAACAAATGTGTCTTTAGTCAGATGTGTTTTTTTATTATTTAATAAACTTCATTCTTTATGTATAAAGTATTCCCACAGATTTAATATAATCTGGAACTGTTAAATACAGTTTAGTAAAGTCTTCATCCTGGTTCATCCAAGCCGGGAATAAATAAGCAAACATGGCGACTGCTTTGGGAAGAATGTTACAGTTTATTGCAGAAAGATGGTTCTTCAGGAAAGTGCAGAGGAGAGAGAAGGGGCTGAGAGCACAGAGAGAGATTGAGCACATGGGCAGTAGGTTTTATACCCCCCCCCCCAGCCTTTTGTTTGGAATAGTTTCCTGTTCCTGTGGCATGAACCTTGAGACTGTTTCTGAGTGTTTGTCTAGGCCTTGATATCTGTGGTTTAATTCTGTTATCATATCCTGCTTCCCAGGTGATGGGGCTGACTCCTAGAGTTTGGGTGGGGTATGCAGATCTTCTCTTTTGTCTTCTTGATTGCTCTAGCTCCAACTTTCTGATGGTTTTACATTTGCATTTGTATAGGGCTAAAGTCTTGCTTGGGGCAGAGAGATAGATTTGGGGCCAAGTTTGGTTTTAAAAAGTCCTTTTGAGGAAAAATATATTTTTCTGCCCTTTTTAATATTTCCTTCTGGGCTAACTTTCATCAATCCCCCGCTTTGTGCCTTAAGTGTGTATTTATGACACACTTATTGGCACAACATTAAAATTGATCTGGTCAGGGAGACTTGGTAGACAAGCTTTTAAACTGTTAAGCAAAATAATAATAATAAGACATTAATGGAGGCAGCAGAAAAAGATCCCTTTAGTGGCTCCCAAAAGGGGAGCTTGCACCCATAAAGTTCTAAAAGTCAGGGCAAAATTTTGTTGGGCGGAAAAGAAATTTATAGTGTCCAATATTCTGTGCCAATCATTTTCAAATGTTGGATATCACCTTTAGCTTCCAGTCAGGTTTGCATACCTCCCAAAATTCTTCACAGCCATGGTTCTCCTTAGTACATGATCACTGGCTGCCCAATTTCAAGGGTTGTTTCCTGCCTTAGCTCTTAATTCAGTGCATCCAGGTTTGTAATGCCCAATATGCCAGGCTATTAAATTTTTCTTTAAATTGCACATAATGAGCTCTAGGAATCCCAATCTGAGCCCAACAGTGCAAAATATTCAGGGCATAAGTTTGGGATTTTTCCTATTGCTTCCTTAGTCAGGGCATATGAATTGCAAATCACCTGAGGGGGCCTAGTTCCCTCCCCCTTGGAATCTGTTGGAAGTTGGTCCCACAAAGCTTTGGTGCAATAGAGCAAAAATCAGCCTGAGGAACTTTACTAAAGGTAGGTGGAGGGGATAGACTCTGAATGGTGTGAATGGTGTATGTGTGCATATGCAGCTATTTCTACAAAACAGGCAATACAAACATTCTGGAAAAGTTTTCCCTCCCACCAGATAGAAGTCCAAGGTGTTCAGTACTTGTTCTACCACTTATTCCTAAATGCCATCTCTCCACTAATACATTCAACTGGCTTGTTACAATACAAATGGGGCAAGAAAGAAAAGTTTACAATGAGTTTCCACCCTCCCCCCACAGTCTAATTTTCTCTTCTGAGGCTTCACATGGCACCACCTTCCTTCTGCAGCTCTCACAGGCATCTGGGTAAATGGTAGGACTTGGGAAGATGTTCCCCACTCAGATTGCATGGTGGCTTTTTAGTGGATGGCTGGATTCAAAACTCAATTCCATGGCTCAAATGGATGGAGGCAGCATCTGGGTCTGTGTGTTCTGCTTCCAAAGGCTTGGGAGAGGGTTTCAGGGCTGAAAGATACAAGAACAAGGTCTCCCCCCCCCCCCGCTTTCTGGGTGGACTCTACCAGGAGAGGCAGACAAAAGGTATGGAGAACAAAGGGCAGGAAAAGAATTGGAAGGGGGGTAGCTTGCAGGCAGTTTGAAAATGCTGAAAACTCCAAATAATTTTAAAAGCCTAATATTTTGAGATGTGCAACTTGCCAAGGGTAGGAGAACATTTATTCTAAAATAGACCACATCGTTTTAGAGATTGAGAAATGCTTATATATTTGGGATAAGAAAAGTTTCATAGTAGCATCACCAATAAGTGATAGGATACGAAAAGTAACTTAAGGAAATTATTTCCCCACACAAGCAGACTTGAGCTTCAAAAGGCTCTTGTAGATAGACACACATTTTTCAGGGAAAAGGATAGATAAAACACATACAGTAAATGCAAGTGAAACTTTTCCAACAGATAAACTTAAAACAATCCCTCCTGGTAACTTAAGGCTGTTCTTGAGCGTACACAGAGAGAAAGAGGAAAACAAACAAACAAACAAACACAACTTTTTTCTTCACTCTGTTTGTTGGCCAGACAAACAGAGTGAGGTATTTCCTTTTTGTGGCTTATTTTAAGCAGAATTTCTAGCAGAATTTAAAATTCTTTTTCCTTTGGATTTGAAACAGTTAACAGTCACATTTACCTCTCACGCACAGACTTTGACAAACATATATACACAAAGACAAGAGAACAGAAGTCTTAGTTTTACACATCCTAGTCATTCCCACCATAAATTTCAGATAACTCAAGTTAGGGAAGGCACACATTTTAAACATACCACGTGGTTGCATAGAGAAGAGAGAGAGAGAGAGAGAGAATCACTATTTCTTATTTTCCCTTTTAAGTACCTTTATTTAGCCAAATTGGTTTCCCAGCAAGGCCCTAAGCAAAGTCTGTATTTTTTTTTTCTTTTCCCCCATATAGTTTC